TATTTTTTGATAAGTTAACCGACGGACTAATTCACTCTTGCTTTTTTACCCAGGAAAATCCATATTGCCATGAATTATCAAAGACATCAAGGCTACATAAGCGATCAAATGCCAACCGAAACAAACAGAGTGGTATGCAAAACCGTAATGTTTTCACGTGAGGTACCTATAACATTTACATATCTGTCGGGTAATGAAATCTGAGCCGGGATATGGCACATACGGAACCCGGACTATTGAGGCGACGCGTCAAACTCCCTCAGAGAGGAGTATTATTTACTTTGAGATGTATCTACACTCGGTGTAACTTTTGTGCCCGGATAAGTACTCGGCAAATTGACAGCGGATGGAAAGCGAAAAGAAGACCGGGCGAGGTATTTTTGCTAGTGCTATTATGGATTCTATGTTCACAGTACGAGGTAAGAGAAACATTATCTTCTTCTTTTACTTACTGACCTAGTGTCATCTTTATAAAAGTGGAAGGTCACTGACTGACTGACTTACTCACTCATCACGAAATCTCAGAAACTACAAGTGCTAGGAGTTTCAAATTTTGCATGGGGGTTCCTTTTAGAACGTAGGTGCTCACTAAGACGGAATTTTGAAAAATTCAACTCCTAAGGGGATAAAACGGGATTCACGCGTACGAAGTGGCGGGCGGTCGCTAGTTTTTCATAAAATGGCATAGCTAGATGACCAACAGATTACGTGACTGCCAACGATAAATTAAACATTCTTCGGACATTCAGTTCGCACAGATTGAGTTACAAGAGCCTTATCTAATTGAAAATCAAACGTCTGACGTCGAGTGTGTGAGTGCAGATTTCACAATTGCCACACGCACTACTATAATGACGCTCGGATTGCTCAGATAAAACTGCCCGCACCCCGCGCTTCCCTCGACCAAAAATTGGTGGGGCACGTCTTCGTGGATGAAACGACTTATACAGTCTAGGATGCTATGTAAGTACAATAAATGTATTTTATTACCAAACTTTTAGTTCCAAACGGAATTTAATAAAGAAAGTATACAAATAAATAGTCGTATCAAAGCGAACAGGAGGTAGAGCATTCTTGCACTTATAGATTTCCGTGCACAAGTTGTAATAAAAGGCGAATATTTAATACGTTTCAGTAGCTAGGTAGAGCTACAATGAACGAGTTCAGAATATTCCAGGGTGCAGTGCAACGGAATGCGTGGGCTAAGAGTTGGTTTCCACTAAATGCAGGAACTTTTGTCTAAAAATACTATTATATTTTCAACTCATTAACGGCTGAGGCACCGATTTGGTACTGACTATCCCATTAGGTATTACACTGATTATACCGTTTAGTCTGCGGTACCCATAGAGATATAGAGAGATATCAGCTAATGCGCTGAGTTCGAAACTCAGTGTCGCATTAGAAATTCACGCACACATAGTACCTAATCAAAATATATTGTGCTTATTATCCACTGCGGTATCAGTACTCAACGTTCGAATAATCTTTAGTACTACGCAAGCAATGTAGACTGTTTACATTATGACGTCGCTGTCATCATTGCATTCACGAGAAATGTGTTCTGTTTTTAGGCATATTGCTGCGATACCGGCCAGGCCCTCTTGTCACATATCCCTTTAGTTTGTGTGATCTGTGGCGTTACCGATTTGCTATATCCATATTAACTAAATGTTATTACTAACTTACTCGAAGCGCAGGTTTTTGAATTTATATGGAGAAATGCTCCATAAGAAACAAAACTAAGTGCTTCATTGCTTAACACGGCTTTTTCTCGGTTCAATATCGGACAAGTGGAAACGTACCCTAAGGCGAATTGTTTCAAAATAGAACATACTTTGTAGTAAATTTCGCGGAACAAGCTCTGCACGTTCGTGTTGAAGGAACTAGCGACTTTCGTGATTCTGTCCGGAAACGCTCGTTAAAGTTTCCTATTGGCTTATTACGGAAAAATTTAACGTAACTAGTCTAGGGCAAGTCAAAGGTTAATTGCAATTTTCTCACTTTTTGACATCACATAGGCTGATATTACGTTATAGTGATTGATTCTCTGTTAGATTCTAGTAGGTACTACGTTATTTTCAGTTTCTAAGCAAATTTTTATTCGTAGTCATATTATTTTCCTAAGGATTCGCATTAATACTTATACAGATGAGGGAAATAGAAACAGTATCAAATAAGGAACCATATTCTATGAAATCGTTGCTTTGAAATAGGTATACCTAGTTAGGCCAATGCCTTGGTATAAGTTTAGAATCGTGGCGTTAGCCTATGAAGGTTCTAGAAGTTGATGAAGCTTGGACCTTTTTTGATCACAATGACCTTCGGTACTCGAGTAGGTTATTGGATGACGATAAAAATGCAACGATATTATTAATTCACTGTTTTCCTTATCATCAACATTGAAATTAATCCCAGAAGATGGTACTTAAACATGCATGAGCCAAGTTCCTCAAAGTAAATCCAGCCTAAGACTTTCATGAGAAAGGAGCCCGTAAACAATATTAGTATTCAGGTGATAGAAAGGGAGACGTAAGACATTAACCTTTAAAAAGGGGTCAATGCGTGAAGTTGTGTCCCCTTATAACTTATTCTGGTCGACGATTTGTTCTAGAGCTGTTTGGGGTACAAAATACAAACTTTGAATATTGATGCTGGACTCATTATGGACACAATCAAACTTAACTAATGAGCGTTTGATTGGCGGTGGAGTTTGCTTGTGATTTGATGTTATATTAATTTAAATTATTAAGTTTCTTTATATTAATTTAAATTATTAAATAAAATAAAAAGTGTTATTGTCTTCCGATTCTATTTTTCGAGTACTAAGTTTCAACTTGTTGATTGTATTGAGCTTTTTAAATCAAAGACTATTATAGAATGTATTTTGTAAACATTTTATCGTCTAACGTAAAATTTATAATACCCGCCTTCATTTTATGAATAAATAATTATAGATACAATAAGAACATACTTTACGAACAGGTGCTTCAAAAGCAATCGCCTACATTAAACTTTAATATACCAGGAACAAGCAAATCCCGAATCGATCCCGCGTCGTAACAATAATACTTTAGAGGAAAATCTACTTCCTCAGTACATTCTGCTGGGAACTTGAAATGGCGAGTGACTTTGTCAGCTGAATAATAAATGGCGGCAGTCGCTGTGCTTTTATTTCTGTTTTACTTGTCGCGGCGAGCTCTAAACATACCTGGGTCTGATGAACGTTTGAGATATATCATGTTGCAATACCCTAGCAGGGTCCATGTTTTGGGTCTATGTCTATTATGTAAGAACTTTTATATACCAACATTGGAGCAATAAAGAATTTGAATTTGAATTTGAATTTGAATTTGAGATTATATTGCTGTTTCATTGACCGAATGAATGTATGTAAAAATAATGGGATAGTGGTAGTAATAATTGCATTGAGTTACGGAAATAAAACATTTGATGAACACGAGTAATTTTTAATTTCATGAATCATTTTGAAACAATTATTACAAAAATAGTAAGTATGTAAAATTTAAAATATCAAACACAAAGACAATTATTTCAAAGGTTTACCTACACTTCACAAAATAGGAAAAGATGGTACTTAGGTATTTATTTTCGTTAAACCACCTTACATAAACCAAAGTTAGTTTAATTAATTAGACACATTTTACATTTATTTAAAATAAAATCTCACAACCAAATAATTTGTCTTCGCCTTACAAAACGTTTGAACAGTATCACATTTTGGATACATTGAGGACTTAATAATGCGAAGACATCAAAGCCGTTATTAACACTGAATAGCATTGAGACCAGCGATAAAACGCCCTCATTTACCGAAAACATAGCTCGTTTACAACAGCCTGCAGACCTAGGATGCGCCAAGATAAAATTTTATCGAGGCATTCATAGATTTTACGCGATAAGCTTAATTATGTCTTCGTAAATCGATAAAAGTACAAAGATAAGGTTTTATCGTGGCGCGTATCCTAGCTCGACTATAATGACAAATAGCTTTTTGGGTAATCGTTTTATCGAAATGTTAAACATGTGATCGAGAAAGTCTAGAACATAGAAAATTAATCCATAACCAGGCAAAGGAAACCTTATTTTTTATTTAAAAAATTATTAACGTAAAATACATCAATAATTGGCTATCATTAGCATTACGTTTTATTCAATATTTAAATTATTTGACCAAACAAATAGGCAGCGCTAGAAGTATAAAATAAAATAATACAGTTTTTAATTTAAAATTACAAATCTGTACAAATTTACTTTACTCTAATATCTAGTCATACCTTATTAATAATTACATTTAAATGAAAAAACTGAACACTTCTAAATTAATGATATCTAGGTCTCTAAAATAAGTAAGTTATCGAATAAAAGCCGTTACAAAAATTGCCATATTGATTAATGGCCCTATGAATTCAGATCATGTTGTAGATGAGTGGCTGTATTACCTTGACATCTGCAACGATCCACACATAACAATGTTACACACATGAGCTGGAATACAAAAGCTGATGCTTGCTTTACGAGTACGTTCTGACAATACCAATTTTAGAGCCTCGTCGACTTGCAATAGTTACCGGCATTGTTCAGATTTTACGATCTTGTCGGCGTTGGACGTGCGAGATATATTACGTTTGTGATCCACGAAATGATTAATCCAAATCCAATAAACATTCACGTTACCATTTAAATGGATAGAATTTTTACGAGTAGGTTTAGAATTATAGTTATATAACAGTACCTATTTATTTACAATTTATTCCCCAGCCTTCTGGGCACCGCTAACCATACTGACGGATCTGGGGATACGGTTTTTAAGATGATATGTAGGTATAATTGTAACTTTTTATTTTACTTTTTTTGTAAATATTGCATTATCTATTTATGTGTATGTGTGTTTTTATTTATATTTTTAAATAATTATAAATTAATTTTAAATATAATCCTTAAATAGATAGATTTAAAAAATAAAGATTGATGTCATATTAAAAAATGTAGTTAGGTCTTGGAACAAAACCTACCTTCTTCAAAGGTTTGTGCAAAAATCCATCGTAGTACAAACCCGCTAACGGCTTAAACTGCCCCGAATTATCATAAAATGTGTCAGAAGAAAAGTTTTTCCATCTCTCATCCTCAACTGGCGGAAGAAATGTATCATTTTGGTAAACTGGTGTCGTTAGTTCAAGGTTATTTACCGCACTATTGTCATATAGGGCAGCCGGATAGGGACCCCAGTGTTGCGTAGTTGAAGTATCTAGACTGCCATTTACTTGTGTGGCATTTGACACAACATTAGTAAAGTTTTGCCACCTATTATCATCTACTGGAGGAAGATCCGACCCTTTATCACTTTCTGTAGTTGTCAATTCTACAGAAGTGACGAATTCATTATTATACACAGCCGTTGGGTATCCAATATCTGGGGTTTCTGTAGTATTCGATGGTATTGTAGTTTTATCTTCAGGAACATTTGTGGTAGTTTCTGTTTGAGCCTGAACAGTTGATGTATTGACAGCTGTTGCATTTTTCGTAGTAGCTCGTAACAAGTCGTTAACTTCTTCAAATTCATTTTTATTAATTTTTGGTTCAGGAGAATCTCTGCTTGAGTACTGATTGAGCACTTCTACATCTTCGAATTCGTCGTTATAGTCGGTAGAGTTCGTTGATTCAGGTTTAGCCGGTTGTGAAGATTGGTTGTTCTTTTCATTTTGGTAAATCGTTTTTAGTATACTAATGCTCTGGTGTTGGTTTATTGTTGGCAGTACTATGATTGGCATGATTGGGGGCAAGTGATGTCCATTATCATATCCAATTTTATATCCATGGAGATATCCCAATAGTGCTAGTAAATTTTTGTCTTTTTTGCTAATAGTTTTACTTTCACCTGCAACAAAAATAAAGATATTAATATTTTTTAACTTTTATGAAACTGTGTTCTTCCTAACACAATTTTATGCCAAAAAATTGACTACTGTCACGATTTACATTGTTCACTGGTAATTGACGCAAGAACTAAATAGATAAAAAAAATATGAGGCACACAAACACTATTCATACATTTAAAAAAAGTCACATGAAACTTACAGAAAATTAAAAAGAAACAATACAGTGCAATGATTAGCAGACGTCTGTTCAAGAACATTTTGAGCGAATAAATGGTAATGTGTGTTATTTTTATCATGTAATGCACTATCAGTGGGAGTAAAAGTGAAATTTTAACATAAAACATTGCTACAACATAAGTTTAGTATGCCAGGTAGGTTATAAAATTAGCCTTTAATGGCTATGGTATTCATAAACATTTATTTAAGAGTACTACCTAATTTAAATTGAATGTGAAATGTGTGAACATCTAAGAATTAAGTATGATAATGAACAAGCCATACATTTCATTTGGAATGAATGGTCCCAAGACTAAAGTTATACTATCATAACTAAAGATTTCTCGCCTAAGTAAATTATCCTGTTTTCATTCAATTTAATCTGATTATGCTCCCCTTTGCGTATACTAAGTGAAGTGAAATCGAAAATAAACATGAGGCGTATCAAAATGCGGGCTCGTATGCATAAGCACTATTGTTCTTTCAAAATTTCGCTTTTCTTATCTGAACGTAACTGATATCTATGAGCTTGCGAAATTCCGGTATTTACCTTAAAATATAAATTAAAATACGAAATTGCATCTTAAATAAATTGTGAATTTACCAAACATGAATCTTTATGGAATGTTTATACGAGTACTAATTTGAAACTTTTGTGTTTCTCACTAAAACTAAACCAATCAACTCAAAGCTACCAATATACGTAGAACTTACCTGTATTTAGTCGTTATAATTCTTGTAATCATAAGAATAACAACAAATTGTTAATGATATACGATTTCAAACCTTTACTAAATCGAACTGTTACTGTCCCAACAAATACAGCAAAATGCCAGACCGTGAAGAAGTATAAAACATCCATTATTGAGATCTCCTCAAGACAAGGCTTCTTTTATTTCATTGTCGCTTCTACTAAAGAAAATATCCTTTGATACAAATAATATTCAAAGCCTAAGGGAGACAGAGATATGAATGACAGGTAAGAAACAATCTGGTGTATCTGATAGTACATTATATTGTATACTAAGCACGATAAGATACTTTGCTAGAATAATAGTGAAAGAAATTAGTGAAAGAAGTTAGTCAGATAGACGCGTAGACGATGTTTGAAACTGAGTGGAATTCAGATTAATTTTTTTTTACTCTACTGCGCCAGGAGGACGACAATCCTTCTTTTTTTAAATACCTAAAGCACACTTCAATACTTAGAACATAATACGTACCTATTACTCACAAAGATTGTACCTAACATAAACTAATTTTGTTTTAGAAATTAGACAGTAGGGGAGGGACATGTTGTATTAATACCTACCTAAATTTTGGCACACACAAGTTTTATTTTGAATCGCTTACTAAGTTATTGATACTTTATTATAAGTTTTTGAATCTTTAAGTTAGATACACTCAATAAAACACAAAATAAACAACTTCCAAGTACTATTTTAATAAGATCCCTTCATAATGTATAGCTAGTTCCGACTCCACTGAAACGTTTCAAAAATATTTGTATCCAGTGAAAATATTTTTCAATATGCAAGACCCGTTATTAAAATTTGTAAAATGTGTCATATTCCGAACCGGCATGTTCGTGATAGACAAGATTGCGATAAAGGCGTGTCAACTGTCGCCGCGTGACGCCGCGTGACGTCGTGTGACGTCGTCAGCAGCGTGTCACGCGTCACGCCGCGTTGTGTGATGCTAATTAACTTTCTGCAACGTTTGTGTTCACGGTAAACAATTTTCACCTGTTTACCATATTAAAAGAAAGATCACCTGAATACTCAATCATAAATGTAGTTAGTGAAGAAATATTGGATAAAGACTCAAAGGTTTTTAATTCTCAACGATCCAACGGTACTTACAAATTGCCAAGGGACTATTTGTTGGAAAAAAGCTGTCAAGGGTCTATTGATTAGAGTTTTACTCGATCTGAATATTTAGGTAAAGTCTGAAATAATTTCATAATTATGTTTGATGTCAGTTTGTCAGAAAAAATATGCATCTAATATTCTGTGCTTGGGATTAGGAATAATAAATTCTTTCTTATTAAAAAATCATACAGGAAAAATACAATATGTGTTCATTATTCTACATTACATTTCAGCAAAAGTGACATCGACAATGGAAGGGTGCCGTCAACAGATTTACCCTAGGGGAGTGTCATCTGTCATGACTGCGAGAGTCAGCAAAATGAGACGTCTGTATGTGTGAAAACCTACTCGTAAGTAACGTCCACATAATATTTACGCCAAACATTACTTATGAGGTCTCACAGTGCGCGTGGACGCACAGAGTGGCACACTGATGAAATAATAAATCTTTAGATAGAAATAAACTTGGTTTTATTTTATCAAAGTAATTTAACAAAAGAAACGCGCACACCGTGACCATAGACCGGAGAGAGTAGAGATGTCCCATAGACAACACAAAACGAGTTGCGTTCACACTTCATCACACACGAACCAATCACAGAGCTCTATTCAACGCTGTGCGTTTGGTTTGCTGCTTCACTTGAGCAAGCGTCGTTTGTGAATACGGCCGTTAACGTCATTTGGTAAGCAAATCCATACCTTTTTATGTACAGTCATCGTCATTACCTAGATAGTGACATCCAAAGTGGCCAAAAGTTGACAACACAACCTTATTCCAGTTGTAACAAAGATGTGTTGCGAACTCTGTGGCTAAAAAATTATGATGCGAAAGTATTTTGACTGTCTGTTACCTATTCACGCTCAAAGTAAACAATTTATTTGAAATTTGGTATAGAGATAGTTTGATACCCAGGGGAAAGTAAAGGATGGTTTTAATCCAGGTTTTTAATAGTTCTTATCTCGGTTTTTAAATGTTCATCATGACATACCTACTGCGCGCGATGTAGGTAGTATTTTTGTGTCTAAACAAAATTCATGTGAATCCAAAGGAAAAGTTAGTGTATGTTCTGTGCTTCTCCATATTGTTTCTGTCTTAACATTTTCTATTTTTAAGCTCTAACAATTGAAAATTTACTTGTCCTTTTAATTACGATGCAGTTCTCTCATTTTCACTCTTAATGCAGATTTTAGCAAAATTAGTTCCTTAATTCTTGAAAGCATAGCACGGGTGAAATCTCGGGTGGATTTTCATATATTCTAAAGCGAGGATGAAAGGCGCACCGCAGAGTACGCATCGCAGCATCCGTCTTGTGCAATACAGACGCGCCATTATGCAAGTAGTCTGGAGAGAAATTAGTAAAGAAAACAACACTACTTTTGTGTCTCCAAACACTGAGCTCGACGACAACATTGCGAAGAATCTTCTTCAGAAGTTTATTAGAGAGGATTGTTACTAAATATTGATATTAAATGAAATACTTACTTAACTAGGTAAAAAGATCAAACGTGTAACACAAATAAATCATGATATAACAGACACGATATTCATATCTACAACATCAATGTAGTTAAGTTACATAAATTCGCATCGTTATTGTCATTATTTTTAACTTTTATTCTTCGGAAGTTTCACTTTTCTGTTATTTTTTGTAATAATTTTATTAAAATGCATACATGGCTATTTCTCATCNGCAGCAGCAGTAGCTAGCATCATTCCTTTTCTACAAATTCCTATACAGTTCAAAATGATGGCAAATTGTAATGCCTAAAATTATCCGGTCGTTACCCACAATGCGACAGTGCATTGTAGATGCATGTCCAATTTAGTCCAATATTCTAACTCCCGTCCTATTACCAACATGAGGAGCAAGTTCTGTCTTATAACTACACAAGTTCATGGGCAGTATTGTAAATGTTCCAGTAAGTTTGGTAAGTAACTGCCTAATAATGCTTTTGGGACGGTAACAGGCCGTCATTACTGACACGACTGTGGTTCGGTAATGGTAATATTGGTAACAACGATATGATACCAATTGGGCAATAGATAAGGCACAATATTGTGATTTAAAGATAGTTTTAAGTCGACTCACCGTATCAGTTCTTGATATTTAGAATTATGTGCGTCAAAAATTCTCTAAGTGACATAGGTAATTTAAGCATTGTCAATTTAATTTTAATTCTGATAAAATTTTAGGTAGCTGATTATTTAAAGTCTCTTCATCATTATTTCAGATAATCATGTCCGTGATAGACTGGGACAGGTAACCACAAGATGTGTTATCGATTACAAACCACTGATAATAAGAATGAACCTCCATTATATCTACATAATACCTATACCAGTTAATTTTGCCACTATAGTCATAGCTAAGTATAAAGTTTGGAGGAGTGTGAGTGCTGGTCAAGGTACAGACGATGGAACATCAAGGTAAGTGCAATCTTAAGCAGTTGTGATAAGTACTATTTTGCGTTAAAACTGTGTATTCTGATGTACTGTCGCCAGTACATCTGAGAACTGACTGAAGTTGTAGGAGTTAGTTATGCACTTACGAGTACGTCTGCAAGTTGCTTGGGCAAGTGTCTAAAATGATCTTGCCTTAGAGAAACTTAAAGGACGAGTCTATTTTAGTCTTATCCCAACTANTGTCTGTCTGTCTGTCTGTCTGTCTGTCTGTCTGTTACGCTTTCCCGCTTAAACCTCGCAACCGATTTTGATGAAATTTGGCATAGAGATAGTTTGAGTCCCGGGAAAGAACATAGGATAGTTTTAATCCCGGTTTTTGAAACAGGGACGCGCGCGATAAAGTTTTTCTGTGACAGACAAAATTCCACGCGGGCGAAGCCGCGGGCGGAAAGCTAGTCTTGAATATATCGTTTTGTTTATAATTTCATGTGCACTATCAAAACATGATTAAGAGGAATAAATTAGATTAATCCTTTATGAACGTTTGACAATAAATTAGCCAATTCTTCATTTCTAAAACAAGACAAACACAATTTTAATTTACTAAATTAGAAGACCCAAATTGCGATAAACCTACTTAAACAAATAAAAGTAGCTACTTATTAAGAAATAAGTTAGAATTAATTTAGATCTCGGACTTTTAAAACTGTAATTTTGGCATGTTAGGCAGTCTGCTTTTGACGAAGTTGGGTGTAA